TCTCGCTCACGGCCGCTATTCGGCCAGGCGACTCTGCAAAGCCTCGGAGGATTCGACAGAGTTTATAAGGTCAACAATGGAAGTATAAAGAGGCTGACCAGGCCTTGGTAAGGAATGTGACGGCCAGTAGGCCTTAGTCTGCAAACTATACACAGTACACGACAATCAGTGTTATTGTCGGACCAGAGTAAAAATGTCTTCATTATTCGATAATACAATAGTAGCTAATAGTACAATGTTTTTCTCTCTTTTTTTTTCTTCTTCTTTTCTTTTTCTTTTTTTTTTCATTTTTTTTCTTTTTTTTTCTTTTTTTTTTACAACGACTTCCTCCGGCCGCGGAGAGGCGGTACATCACAGGCCAGTCGAATCCGACGCTCCCATACTGTCCGGTTTTTAGCATCACTGGAGAGCGTTCGCTCTTTCATGTTTATAAATACAGTCGAATATAGATTGTATGCGTGTATCCTCTGCGAATATCAAGCGGCCAAAAATATCTCGAGTATTCAGCGGTAGGGATGGAATAATGGCTGCAATAAGATCGCTCTCTGTGAGTGGCTGGGATCGTGGAGGGACGGTATAAGCTTGAACCCTACTTAATGGATCTGCAAGATTATGCTCACTTGCAGTATGTTGAACATTAAGTATAATGTTTCATGTTTTGCAAGTATCGTGAAGAGTACGGGTACGTCCTTCCACAATAGCGCTATTCAACCCATAGATTTGGCGCTAGTGTCTGGCATCTTGGCCATATAACCAGGGTACGACAGTGAAGTTATTACATTCAACGGTCAATTTGAGTTGACGCTGCAGCTGAAGAGCGGCAAGGTATCTGCTGACTAACTTGCAGACACCATATATGAGAGCATCTAATTCTGCCAACTTAATATGCCGATTATCACCTAAACGGCGCAATTCCGTTGAATCTCCTATATAAGTTAAGCCAGCAACTATAGCAGTTCCGTAGGCATATTTTGATGCGTTTGTATAAATCACGGAATGATTTAAACATACCAGGGATCTTAATTGGCTCTCGTTGAATCTCGGAGGGCTGAATATTGACTGTAGTCCTCGTAACTTATGAGATGATCGTATAGTAGCCAGACCTACTGAATCAACTGTTAACGAAGTTTCGTTATACGAGTAGTACGAAGTCTTGGTCTTGAATGCCCAAATTCTGAAGTTCAGCGGGCTACCGATCATTTGGTTTTTTTTCTGGCCGTCAGATTTCTGGGCGTGAGTGGGTTGCCTTTACTTATTTCCTGTCCACAGCAACAAGACCGACCTTGTGCTGGTTTCGAAGCGGAGTGAAAGATCATCACCAAGAAGTGTAAGTCCTCACCTGCTAACCTCAAGTTCCTAAGAAAGTGGACTGGTGTGTTCCAGTGGTTCAGCCATTAGCTAGGTGATCAAGATGCTCTCCGCTGTCTCAGTGGTCTCGTGAGGTCTCTGCGGAATAATGATGCTGTGGGTGATGAGTAGTGGGACGAAGTGTCTGTTGCTTGATATACCGTATGTCAAGCAACAGACACTTGTGTCACATGCGTTGGATCCGTGTTTCATGAGTGGCTTCACACCTTTGTATTTAGTTCATTGTATAACTAGGTTGATTGTCACAGATTTCAATGTAGCATCGTGGTATGGCGCTATTTTAGGAGTGATGACCTTGGACTCTGACAATGGTTGCCCAGCTCTAATTCGAGGAACGACTTTATGATATAAGTCCTTGTGATAGTTTCCTTCTTATGCATCCTGCGGGAAAGACCTACAGACTTCTTCCGGTTCGGCCCTGTGGCGGAGTATGTAGGAAAAGAGAGCAACTGAGAAGCTCTACTCCAAGATATCGAGGAGCTCAAGTGCAATGTGTGTCCGAGAACCTTGTTGCTCTGCGTGGCAACCATACTATCAGTTTGGAAGCCGATGCTAATCTCTGTGAAACTTATATTCATGATGACTTTGGTTATGCTTGGGAACCGTATGCTGGTGTGTCGATCGGGGAGCTCTTCGAAGCCTACAGTATGTTGATAAATCTGTGTGGTTGCCTGGTGATGAAGATGCTCTTTGTTGGCCGGATATGTCTAGAGGTGGTATGATTGGCTAGGCGGAGATCGTCCCTGTGAATGTCAACGACTCCTCTGAGCAACTAAATGCGGAGGATAGTATCCTCAGGATACGACGAAATCAGAAGTGATCTATGGCTGCTCAGTTGTTCCAGATGATAAATGATGTGGTCAGTTGTGGTTATGATCGCAGCCAAGAAGGACGACTCGTCCGGGACGAGCATCCGAGGTCTATGGCGAGCTGATGAGCCTGTTATTGGACAGGCTGTGCCGCCTGATTGTGGTTGTCTTCTATTTTAAGAGTTTCGAGGCACGCTTCACCGCATCGCATTAGTTATTTGGGAGTGTTGGGTGAGACTGAGTGTTAGCAAACTAGGCAGCAGAAGGCGGTGGTAACACCGAACATCACAACACGCCGTGCATTGGTTTAAGACAAAACTGTCACATTGCCTAACACGCAGGCACATAGGCAATGTCACCCATTACTCATCCAACAATCCCAGAGAAACCGTGCGTCCGATGCTCACATTACTTCCGTGATCACGAGTCATGATTTAGGACACAGTTAGGACATCATTTTCACCTAGGATCCCTAAGTCACGCGGGGAGGGAAACACCATTCAAGCAAGCGGAGGTCTCTGGGAACAACATCCCAGATTCAGTTTCTGGTGATCGTTGCGGTGTGGTGGTCGTCACCATTAGTCGTAATGGCTCGACAGCGATGCTGCTAGTAGCAGCCAGCTTATCAGGAATCACGCAATTTAATGTTGTAGTTGGTGATGTAGGAATTTTCTACATCATCAACTCGCAACATCTGGAAGACTGAGAATCTCCGTTGTATGAGTCTTGCACTGACGCTTGATTTCGGGTAACCCGTAGTGTTCCCATGCGCTTGAGATCCGGCTCCATCAACCGGGGGTATGCATTCGTCTACAGTCATAGCAAAGATCTCAATCGCATTTGTGACCCAGGAATGAGTCTCAGAAGTCGCATCGCCTGTAACAAAAGGTTCAGCTGGGGGATCCGACGACTCTACTTGGACTGTCCTCGATCGACTTAGCCGGTAGCGGTCACGGCCTCTGCGCCGAAGGTTGCCGCCGCCGATCTCCGGCTGGATGCATTCGAGAAGGCATGAACTGACTGATCTGTCAAGAAGCCCTGGCATGAATCAAACTCAACGCAGCAGCTCAAATACTCGGGAGTAGATGAAGGAATGAGATAAAAAATCGCCAATCTCTCTTTGTTGGGGGTTGCCGTCGCCGGTTGCTAACTCCCAGCGGCCTCCATTCACGTTGCAGCTAGTATCGATACAAAGTACGATAGGGAGAAGGCCGTACAACAGTTAACTGAGATTGCGAGGCTTGCGGCCACCAATCGCCATCGGCCATCGGCTGAGTCGCGAATCCATTGGATGTTGCCGCTGACATCCACTACCGGCTTCTTGTCTCCTGTGGAACGATCGGAGCCTAGTTTTACCTCTCGGTAGGTAGCAAGAAACTCACTCAGCAGTTTCACTTAGCCTGGTCGACTACCAAACCTGGGGAACCACGACCATGACGTCTCTAGATCCGCTCCATGTACTCTACTTGACCTTGTGCGGCAACATCGTGCGTGTTCAAGAAGGCCTCAGCAGCACCATGTGAAACGGATTCAATCCTCAGACCACGAAACAAACAGAGTTGCGTCTCGTCTGCGTTTTCTCTTTACCAATGGGGCAGAGGACATCAACAACCGTGTTCTTCAGCATGTCCGGCTTCGAGACCAAGGTCGGAAGGTCAGCGACAGTTACACCAAGTTGAAGTAGCCTGTCGACGATGGCGTCGCATAGTACCGTTGGGCAGCTGGTCGGGGAGATCGCACGAATGGCCTCCGTTTCTCTGGCAAAAGTGTCCGTCATAGAGACAGGAGGCAAGGAAAAACTAGGTAGAGAGGCGGGAGACGTACGGTTATTACGAAATTTATCGAAGGAGCTATGAATGCGAGACGCATAAGCAACACAATTAAGATCGCGTAAAGAAAAGCATAATGTAACAGATGGCGGACCATACAACAACAACAACAACAACAACAACAACAACAACAACAACATCATCATCATCATCATCATCATCATCATCATCATCATCATCAACAGCCGTTTCATCCTCTCTGAAATCAAACTTTGATCACATACGATCCTCCTCCATCTAACTCAGTTGTATCCAACACCACCTATTATGAAAGGTGGTGTGGACAGGGTTATAGTGGCCTAAGCATGATGACTTGGCTGATCTGGAATAAATAACTCATGCTCAGCTTTATCTCATGCCTAGATTACCATCACATGCTATCGCATCTGCCATTGTGGAAGTCCCGACATACGAGGTAAAGGAGGAATAAACGATATGTGATGTACTACTAAGAAATATTTATCAGGACGAAGTGGCTAATACTGAAAGCTCGAGGTTGGTGGCATCGAAGTTCTCAACGGCAAAAAATGATTGTCCTAGTTGTGCGAATCTAACAGTGTTATGTTTCCTTGTCTACGTTGAAAATTGCAGATCAGATTTATCATACGCCGAAATCTGTCCAAAACCATCATCAGTCGGAAAGAGTCTCTGGCCGAAATCTGATCTATTTGTAGGTACGCGGATAACCTTGTTAATCCGTTAATCTATGGCATGCCTAATACTGCATTATCTTACGTGTTTACGTCCTTGTAGGCGATAATGTGCAAGTTGTCCCGTTATGCTATCCCTCTGTACACAATTTACGCTGAGGTAAGTCTTCATTTAGGTAAGTCCCTTGTGGACGTAGTCATAAGCATTATACTTCAGGTATCTATCTGTTGAGTTGTCACCACTACAAGTGTTAGCAGCTCCTTGTTCCGATTGTGGTATAATAAGATTACCTGGTTGTGGTTGGTGGCGTTATCTTTGGACGTAAAGTATCGTGGACTGAATCATGGCACCTACGTTGAAGGTAACTCCGAGCCCATTGTCTAGTAAGGGACTGACGATTGCGAAGATGGAAGCATGGTTCGAGAAGTATCATACTACTGCGGCGTTCTATGGGTGGTCCAGTGATGAGATCTATAAGTATGTTCCATTGTTTCTAGAAGATTCGGTCTTGGGGGTATATGATAGTATGACGCCTGAAGATAAGAAGGATTCGAATAAGATCAAAGACCACTTGATACAACGGCTATTGACGAAGGATGTATTCGAGGACTTCCTGTCTTCAATTCTAGTCTTGCTTCCTTCAGAGACTTTACTTGAATACAGCTATGATCTTAAGCGGTTGGCAACGAGAATGTTGACAGTTGAAGGTACTTCGGTATCAGATACTGTGATTGATGGTGTGGCTAAAGGTCAGTTTTTGAGGGGTATACCTCAGGAGATTGCCAGTAAACGGAGGGTACTGCAGTTGCCTACGTTAGAAGAATGTGTTCTTCTGCCACTCTTGAAGAACACTACGGTTATGGTAAATAGTTCGGCTGCTGGTATCCGATCACAACAAGACCCGTAATGGTATAACCGGTGCTACGTTTGTGGTCACCTTGGTCATTTGGCCAGGGATTGTACTGCTGGCCCGCAACAAAAAGGACGTGATAAAGGTCGGGTTGATATTGATCGGTCTTATATGGTGGAAGATGACAAGTTGGCTTATGACGAGGACAATGAGGATCCCGTGATGGGAAACGAGTGAAGGAGCATGATCTTATTGGATCAGACGTGCTCCGGAATTCGCAGAGTCAAATTTCTACATGGTGTGATAACATGGCTCTGTCTATGATCCTGGATAGTGGTTCAACGATCTCCTTGATTCCTAAACGGTTAGTTATCAACTACTATTTCTAGCGAAGCTTCTAATCTTGAGCTCCACTCGAATATCTCGAAAATGAAGCTCTGTCACGAAAAAAGAATATACTCGGCCTTGTGATAGAAAGCACCAAAGATTTCTTTTGGCCGAGAGATAGTTCGCCCTCTACTATACCATAATGGTGACTCATTCCTGACTTGGTTCTGACTTAGTCTCATCATCTACATCCTCTCCTGACCAAAACTTCCCTATCGTTGCTGATCCTGGATTTACGAGATGCATTACTGTATTTCTCGGGGGACCCATGAGATCCCCTTTGATACTGTCTTTGCCACCCACCGGTTTTCAAGCTCGCTTTACCATCAGAATCAAGTTTCCCATCTGCGAGAATCAAGCTCTCAGGTCTAAGCATTCCCATGAGTACCGACGGTTTGCTCATCAACATCAGTAGAGTGCCCGTTCGAGTTTCTCAGCCATCACGCCTCAGCCATCAACCACATCAGCCAACTGGTTTATGTCGGAGCTGTTTATACAATCAACATCCACATAACGAATCATCTACCAAAAATGCACTCCTGAGCACCCATCTACATATCTGAACGATTTGCATGTTCACGATCCACTAGATCATCAGGTGACACTATCGGAGGCTATCATATTGCCCTTCCCAAACACAATGCTTCTAAATCAGAGCGATTCTTGTATCATGGATGTTAATTGATTTTAAATTTGAGGAGGCTGGCGGTGGATTTGCATTGAGAGAGGGGTCGGTTCATGATATTAAACGATCATAGCTTCGCAGTGGGTCGAAGGCTATACATAGCGACACAAAAGTACAGGTCGTCTACAACAGGCTCTTGAGGTCCGAGATGATAGTAACATCCGCTAACAACTCCCTTCGTGCCCATTGGATGACGCTCACTTTCTCCATTGATATTGACACGATATTGTTGAATCGATAGCTAAAAGTAGATGAGGACGTCGTCTCATTCATCAATAGTCTGATGCCTTGCGTCTCTTCCTCATTACAACTGTCCAACACAACGAAGATAAACATCAGTGAATTCGTGTCGAAATCATAACAGTACTCGTAGTGCTGCTCAACAAGGCTTCTTTCATTATTGGTGCTATGCCATCCCCAAGGGATGCCTCCGTACCATTAAGGTGTCTACACCATTTTAAAATACTATTCTGCTTTTAGTATGACAAATTCCATCGGGCGGGCCATCCCAAGACATACCCTATAGTCAGTTCGGCAGGATCACGTGATTGGAAGATTAACTTCGTCTGTACGACCAAGTAACCTCAGATTCGACGAATTGTGGGGATCATTAGCTTGGGGCAGGTATCCCATTCGAGTACTGGTGTCCAATACAAGCCAGAGTTTTGGGCAGTAATATAATACAACTCGTTGAATTACCGGAGCTACTTCGGTCAGGACATTGGTCTCGAACTCATGCTTCTTGAAAATCGACTGAACTGAGGTAAACATTGGCATGGCATAGCTGCCCCTCTGAGGAAGTCGAGCTCGCTGATGCTGAGTCAAGCCTTCAGAGGGTATAGCATGATATCAGACTTCCTTGTGACCTTCTAAAGGATTTGCCTCCGTTAATTGGGAGCCCTCGAGACACGATCGACTTCGACATTGAGCGAAGCAGAGAATTATATCACTCCGTGGGGAGTCTCCACCAAGGATCCTAGAGAAATTCTTTGAGTGAATCGTATTTCTGACTGCTAGCTTGTAGCCTCTCCCAAATGAGCTGGCTTGGTTTCTCCCATGACGAATGAGTTATGAGCCCGTTGTGCTTTTTCCTCAACAACCATGAGCTCTCGCATCCTAACCTTCCAACCGTAGGCTACGGTCCGTAGCATTCCCGGATGATGCGGGGGAGCTTCATCTACAAGCGTGATGGTCCCGATTCTCTCACGATGACCTTCAACACCACTAGGGATGGCCTTAGGCAGTTTACTATCCAGTGTAGTCATCGATACCAAGATGTTTGACTCCAGCTCCGCGAAGAAGATGATGAGTACCATGATATCCTCCACGAGTTCCCTGAGTCCGGCCCTTGTGCCTATCGTGGTAACCTCGAGTTCGCGATGCGATGTGAAAGCCGAACGACTCTATTGACGCAACTCTTTCGATCAATACTCATTCACTCGTTATCAAGATCGCATGCGATACCGCGGGTTAGTCAAAATGCGGTCCATTAAACACTTCAAAACTTCATTCCAAAATGTCTCCACACACTCGGGCTGGGAGTAGCCTGAGAGTCGGCCACCTCAGTCGTTGTCGCTGAGGCTTCGGTGGTGACATCAACGTTGGTGGTGGCACTGATAGTAGTGACTGGGAAGTCAGCTGTAGTCGCGAGATTAGTGGCGATGTCGTCTGTTGTAGTAGCAGCAAATGTGGTGGATGAGGCCTCTCCAGTAACATCCGAAGATGTGGTTACTTCCGAGGGAGCTGCTGTGCTCGTCGTTTGTGCAACAGTGGTAGGCTCGACAGGAGCGTCGGTAGTAACATCAGCCGCATCGGCTGTAGTTACCATTCCGGTAGTGTCAACAGCAGCAGGAGTGGCCGTATTGGTTTCTTCGGGAGCGGCTGTTGTGCCGTCCTGGATTGTGGTGGTCTCAGTGACTTCATCGGTGGCTTCACTTGGAGTAGTGGTAACTGCAGCAGCCTCGTAAGTGCATGGCGCATTGGATGAATGGCAGGTGCTTGGTGTAGCCCAGTACTTGCAGTAGGAGCCAGGAGTATCCGAGGCACAACCAGCATCACAATTACGGGGAACTTCACTTATCTCACCCGACCCGCAGTAACAAGGGACGTTGGAGCCAAAGCACCTGCTAGGTGTCTGCCAGTATTTACAATACGACCCGGGATAGGTGGCGGCACACTCGGCATCGCACTCGGTGGTGTTGCTCATCACGTATGTGATGTCCTGGAGAACACTGAGGCAGACGATAATGGAGGAGAAGGAACGGATAGTCATCGTGCACGAATGTGAGAAAAACTGCCGGAAGTGCGGAACCAGACTGGGCCTGCGAGGGCCTATGCCAACGCCATAGCCTGGTGCTATTTAGGCAAACCGTTTAAGCCCTAGTGAGTTCAATGTTGATCGTTCGCTGTAGCTGAACAGTAGCGCGCGCGATGTCTATCTTGCCCAATCGTTTCACAACCGTTTTCACAGATACTGCATCATATACAGCGTTCTCAGCCACTCTTCTTCGGAGAATTCGGCCGACTTCTCGTAAGCATCATTTCGACCGATTATCCAACTCTTGGTTCGGGTTAGCGGCTCGTTCTGATTGCCAAGGCAAATGTGATGATCATGCAGGGCAATCGCTCGTCGCCGCTCACTATCAGCGCTTAGGGGAATATATTCTAGATTACAACGGGCAGTGTAACCTGCAGCGATCAGGCTTCGTGAACGTCTTCTAACTCTGCGTGGCTGTAGCCCACAGTTCATGACTCCTCATTGGGTCAGACTAGAACTTCCTCATTGTCCAATCGATTTTCTGTCAAGCCATAATCTCAGAATAATTGCTCAGCTGAATAAACCTTATTGGCTGGGCGGCTGGCCATCTACACAGGACCACAGTTGGATTTATCCCTATAATCCAGCTACGCGAGTAACAAGCTTGCCCTCCGATTGCACCTACCCTGACTTTGGTCGATGTCACACATGTGAAGCTTGATAAGAACACATTGAGCTGTCAAGGATACATCAGAGATTCTAGTATATCTAACCTCTGCATTTGAACTCGCTATCAACAGAGTCTTCAGCATATCAGCAATCGGAATTCAGACACTGGAGAACCAACATGGGCTCATGCTAGTTGGTAAGAGGATCACGGTGGTGCGGCTTGCCCGCCCCACCCGCCGATTATAGACAGGGCTCGAGAATCACGACCTTTGCTTCTTAGTCGGAGGCAACCCTTTCCTGACCACCGTGTCCTTTTTATGGCTATTGGGCTAACGACACTTGCGAAGATGCTTCAGCGAAACGGCACCGATTGCGAGTCTATAATTCACCAGGGCACTCACCAGGTGGCGGAGCTCTCGCCAATCTCTCTTTGTTGGGGGGTTGCCGTCGCAGTTGCTAACACCCAGCGGCCTCCATTCACGTTGCAGCTAGTATCGATACATAATACGATAGGGAGAAGGACGTACAACGGTTAACTGAGATTGCGAGGTTTGCGGCCACCAATGGCCGTCGGCCATCGGCCGGGTCGCGAATCCATTGGATGTTGCCGCTGACATCCACTACCGGCTTCTTGTCTCCTGTGGAACGATCGGAGCCTAGTTTTACCTCTCGGTAGGTAGCAAAAAACTCACTCAGCAGTTTCACTTAGCCTGGTCGACTACCAAACCTGGGGAACCACGACCATGACGTCTCGAGATCCGCTCCATGTTCTCTACTTGACCTTGTGCGGCAACATCGTGCTTGTTGAAGAAGGCCTCAACAGCATTTTGTGAAGCGGATTCAATCCTCAGACCACGAACCAAGCAGAGTTGCGTCTCGTCTGCGTTTTCGCTTTACCAATGGGGCAGAGGACATCAACAACCGTGTTCTTCAGCATGTCCGGCTTCGAGACCAAGGTCGGAAGGTCAGCGACAGTTACACCAAGTTGAAGTAGCCTGTCGACGATGGCGTCGCATAGTACCGTTGGGCAGTTGGCCGGGGAGATCGCACGAAAGGCCTCCGTTTCTCTGGCAAAAGTGTCCGTCATAAAGACAGGAGGCAAGGAAAAACTAAGTAGAGAGGCGGGAGACGTACGGTTATTACGAAATTCATCGAAGAAGCTACACATGTGAGGTGCATAAGCAACACTATTAAGATCACGTAAAGAAAAGCATAATGTAACAGATTGCGGACCATATTAAGCATGCGAGATAGAATATGAGTCGCCCAGTTAGGGCTTTGTCCCTCGTGGTCGAGGTGGTCAAAACGAGACAACAACAACAACACAACAACACACAACACATCATCATCATCATCATCATCATCATCATCAACAGCCGTTTCATCCTCTCTGAAATCAAACTTTGATCACATACGATCCTCCTTCATCTAACTCAGTTGTACCTAACGCCACCTACTATGAAAGGTGATGTGGGCAGGTTTATAGTGGCCTAAGCATGATGACTTGGCTGATCTGGAATAAATAACTCATGCTCGGCTTCATCTCACGCCCAGATTACCATCACATGCTATTGCATCTGCCATTATGGAAGTCTCGACATACGAGTTAAAGGAGGAATAAACGATATGTGATGTACTACTAAGAAATATTTATCAGGACGAAGTGGCTAATACTGGAAGCTCGAGGTTGGTAGCATCGAAGTTCTCAACGGCAAAAAATGATTGTCCTAGTTCTGCGAATCTAACAGTGTTATATTCCCTTGTCTACGTTGAAAATTGCATGACGAAACCGGCAATTCTAAGGGCGCTAGAATGGATTCACTCTTCGTAACAGATTTATCATACGCCGAAATCTCTCCCAAACCATCATCAGTCGGAAAGAGCCTCTGGCCGGGAAGGTCATCTGATCTTTTCGTAGGTACGCGGATAACCTTGTCGTTAATCCGTTAATCTATGGCATACCTAATGCTGCATTATCTTACGTGTTTACGTCCTTGTAGGCGATAATGTGTAGTTGTCCGGTTATGCTGTCTCTCTGTACACAATTCACGTTCAGGCGTCTTCATTTAGGTAAGTCCCTAGCTGACGTAGTCATAAGCTTTATACTTCAAGTATCTATCTATTGAGTCGTCACCACTACAAGTGGTAGCAGCTCCTTGTTTCGATCGTGGTATAATAAGATTACCTGGTTGTGGTTGGTGGCGTTATCTTTGGACGTAAAGTATCGTGGACTGAATCATGGCACCTACGTTAAAGGTAACTCCGAGCCCATTGTGACGATTGCGAAGGTAGAAGCATTGTTCGAGAAGTACCATACTATTGCGGCGTTCTATGGGTGGTCCAGTGATGAGATCTATATATATGTCCCGTTGTTTCTAGAAGATTCGGTCTTGGGGGCATATGATAGTATGACGCCTGAAGATAAGAAGGATTCGAATAAGATCGCAGACCACTTGATACAACGGCTATTGACGAAGGATGTATTTGAGGACTTCAAGTCTTAAATTCTAGAGTCTTGCTGCCTTCAGAGACTTTACTTGAATACAGCTATGATCTTAAGCGGTTGGCAACGAGAATGTGTATCTTCAAGACCCACTTCGATTCGGAATCGGCTAATATCGATTTTGATGAGGCCGCTGAGAATATCTGGGGAGGTTGCGACAGTTATGCCATCGCCAAGACCAAGCCTGGTGATGGACAGCCCAGAAACCACACCTCCAACAATTTCAACCGAGAATAACAAAGCGTCGGTTTGGATGTATCAGTTTGGACTTATGGGGTTTGATCCTCGCAGTACGACGACGGTAACGCACGTGCGAGCGGACAAGCCCACTTCATGAACTCGGTTTGTCGATTCACTACTATGTTCTTATGCTACATATTGTCAGTGCATTCGGCACTCACCAACATACATGAATCTGACTGGCGACGCTAGTATCATCAAATTAATTTCAGGGTCCATGTGAGCTGTTGGCGCTGTTAGAGCCCTGTGACCTAGAGTTCGAGTTAGAGGACTTCCCGGGAACACGACGCGCAGGAGGCATAGGGAAGTCGGGACGAAGAAGACGAAAGTTAATCGACTAATGAGCAATGAGCTTCAGCGCGCAGCACGCATGTGCATAGCGCTCCTGCGTGAAACTACGTCACGTCACGATGGAGCGTGTCTCACTACTATGGGAATAACATAGGGACAGACTAGAAAAAAATGAGAATACATCGCTCAGCCTCGCCCCCCATAAAAGCGTGTACACTGATCGAGTGATGGTCAAAACCCATAAGCGAAAAATTACGTATCGTCATCATCACCATTCCAATCATGCGCTCGCAGAGCTTGCAAAGCACGTTCCTTAGCAGCTCTCTGTGGCCTCGGCTGAGGTGGAAAATTGTTGCTCCCATCTTGAGCAACTCGAGAATCATCGTCGGGCACGGTCTTATCGTGAATCAGGTCCTCAGGGTCATCGGAGACCAATCCGTCCATACGACTATCATCATCGACATCGAGGACACCCTCGTCCGGAATATCGTCGTCTTCTCGGAAGAGCTTCAAGTTTTTAATATGGTGTTCCTCCACAACGTTAGTACTTTCATGTACCAGTACAGCAATACGTTTACCAATGATACGAGTCACCTTAAAAGGACCACGGAAACGACGACTCCATTTATGCTCGCGACGGCCCAAAGCTAGGACTCTGTCGCCAATGCTGATGGGACGATCACTGCGGTGCTTGGAGCTCTTGTTCAAAGCAGTCTCGAAGGCACGCTCACGACGGTCTTGCCATATCGAGATAAATCGTTGTTGAAGCCTGTCTAGACGGAGGGCTCTATTGCGGGCCATAGATGTCAACTCGGTCGGATCATCGGTCTCGATATCATCGAAGTCAGAGTCGAGTTGCTCGATACGGAGCCGTGCCTGTAGGGCAGAGCACGGTGTGAAGCCGAACATGAGCTCGTAAGGGCTAACGTTCTCAGCGCCCTCGTAATCCAAGCCGTACGAGTTGATGCAGTTCTCCAGCATGGCGATAACGACAGGGTCGTCCCATGAACGGCCCGATCCTTCAAGCATTCTAGCTAGCGTGGAGTTTATAACCCTATGGCGAGTCTCGACCCAACCGAGTGTCCAAGGGGCCCTCGAAGCAGAATATTTTATTTGTAGTCCATGTAAGCGGCAATACTCCGTCATATACTTACTGAGATGAGCTTGGGCTCGATCGCATCGTAGTCTTACAGGATAGCCGAAGCGGTTGAAGATGACCGATAGACCATCGCATATGTTTTGAGCCTTGAAAGACCCAGCCAGAGGGAATACAGCCGTGAAGCTTGTGTAGGCGCATGTTGCCGTGAGAAGACTGGCTGTTATAGAGGATGAGTCGGATCCGCTGGACGCCCTTACGGGTCCTATCAAATCTATACCAACTTCGAACCAACTCTTGGCATCGACCTTACGAGAACCAGGCGGTGGTAACTGTTGACCGTCAGGGTCGACGAGTTGGCAGGAATCACAGCGGCGGATCACTTGTGCAGCGAAACGCTTCATAGCGGGGAACCAACAGAAGCTTGATAGACGTGAAGCGACATTCGGCGATTTACCATGGCTACTCTCGAGGTGAACTTCTTTCACCAGAGCCTCTCGAAACTCCTTCGGGATGAAAACCTGCAGGACCACTCGCCCCCCTAGATCATGCCGTATACGTCGGAGGAGTAAACCTGGCGTGCCATTGGACCAAAAATACCCAGGCTTCTTGCATAGGTTTAGAGCCTCGGGGTCGGTAGACGAGACTGTACGGAGTGTAGATAAGTCTAAGTAGGCCTTAACGTCGTTGGACCAGGCTTGAGGGTGATCTTCAGAGTCGGTATCGCTGCTAGTAGAGTCGTCATCCCCAACGTCTTCGGGGGTGGCGATTCGCAAATCAACATGCTTAGTCTCCGTGACACTGTCCTTGCTGACCTGACTGCCACATTCACGAGCCAAGTGATCTATAAGAGCCACCGTAGAAGAAGTTCTTGGCAACCACAAGATTTTCTCAACGTTGGAGATGTAATTGGAGTAGAGAGAGTGCCATGCTCCACAGAAGTCAGTGATGGCCGATTGCCATTCACGAGTAGTATTAACGTTGTCCGTGACCCCATATACCAGACCGGCCAAGATACCCGAGTTACGATTAGCGAAGAGGATTTGGGCCGCCCTTTCGCGGAAAGTAGACGACCGTGTCATAGCCAATGAGGAGCCAGGGAAGGAGTTGCTATGAAAGGAGCCACCGTCGAAAACAGCTGGAAGGCACAGTATCTTGTAGCCATCTCGTTCCAAGACAATGTTTTCTTGTCGGCAGAGCTTGGTCAGATCATCGAAGCTGATCCGAAATTCCGACAGATTCGCTCTTTGAGAAAAGTCGATTGGTACTTGTATGACATGTATAGCAACACCAGCCCCAATTATCGACATTTGCATCCGTGACTAGAAGGGTCGCGATTGCCCATGGTCGAAACAGATAGAGGCTTGGGAGTCCTCGGACGTAGAGATGACCTAGAGACCTCAATGGGGTCCTCGCATCGCTGCTGAGTGGGTCGAGACTAGCATCCGTTTGAGAGGCCTTACTGATAATCGAATATAACTGGGAGAGAGCTTGCTGACCATCTGGAGGGAGCCATTGTTTGCAATATTGGAAGATACCTGCCCAACGCCGGAGTAGGCTCAGAAGGTCCTTGATGTGATTGACGTCGTCTAGCTCTTTCAGGCAGTGATCGATGGCTTTCTCGTCGATCGGATGCTTCGGAGCCGGGAGTATAGTGTGAGAATCCGCCTTCAAGCCGCAGAAGGTGATAGTCGGTCCGTCGCCACACTTATCCTCACGAACAATAAAACCGTAGTGTTTAAAGAGGTCGATGACGCGCCTTTGCAGGGTAAGGCATAATTCCTTAGAGTGGGATCCGATGATCACATCGTCTTGGACATGACAAATGTGGCACCCCGGAGGAATCGTCAGCTTATTAAGGACCCAACGTACGGCTCTCGCAAATATCAAACTGCTCCATCGCCAGCCTTGGATAAGGCAACGCCCGGCATAGATGCGGGGATGGCTTTCGCCGGGGACGGAGATTCTTATACCAAAAAGCTTATCACCGAGAACCGAGTCGATAGCTATGCTACTGAAAGCATCCGAGAAGTCGATCTTAGCAAACCACCCACGGCTTGACGGGGGGAAATCACGGAGTAGCGTAGCAGCTGTGTCTTGGAATTGGTAAGGCCGTTGAGGAGCAGCGGTATTTTTGGAGTGGACGGTGCGAGGTGCAACCCACACTCCATTACGAAGTTGCAGCTCGTTAACGCTCCTGAGGTCGATGGTCAGACGATACCGGTTAACATCAGATTGTGGTATAGGATATTGGCGAACACGAATGCCTTCTTGTTTATCCACCAGAACGGGCTCGTTGATGCACATGACCTTGTGTTCCTCTTCAGGAGATATTCTTGCGAGTTTCCCATCCGCTACCATCCGATCGCAGACATCGGCGAGTATATACCGGTCAGTGGTACTGCGATTACGGGAACTCTCGCTGCGGGGCATAACGGACGCATTCTCGAGCATAGGAATATTGGCCTTCAATCTGGTGGTACCATCACCGTTGGGGACCTCGTCGAATAGGGATCGGTTACGTGGAGTCGTACTCTCGAGCAACGGTAGAGCCGGTCTCCCGAAGAGTAACCGCGGGGTACACGGCCGTGCCACCAGAAAAGGAAGCTCAATGATCTGAGAGCTCGTGTCAACATCAGAGGAGCCGCTCTCGGGACAGAGACGGAATCTCAGCAGAACTGCGGTATCGTGATGCTGGGCCTCGTTGTTTCCGAAGACGGTACGATAGGTATTTTTGGTTGGACGTTCGACGTACGGTACACCACGTGTCGTAGATCGTCAAGGAGAGTAGAGTCGATGTAACACGCGCCAGCTCCGTTATCGATTTGGGCACGACAGAGCACACCTCGGTGATTATCATCTGTAGAAGGTAAAATCCGACAGTAACGGTGCAGCGGGGGAAAAATAGGAACGTCCAATGGCTCTCCAACGGTACCACATTCGGAGTTGAAGTTGTCAGCGGTATTCAGGTAGGCAAAAGGTGCATCAACTTGCGTCGCCATTAGAGCTGATTCCGTACAAGCTGGTTTCTCAACCGCTGACTCTGCATTGGTAGTCGCCGTTGCAGAAAGAGCCGGACCAGTGGCTAAAGACTCGATACATACGCCAGCCATATGACCAGGTTTGCGACACCTTGGGCACGGAGTGAGAAGGGTACGCATACATTCTGCAATCGAATGGCTGAAGTCGCCACACTTGCTGCATCTTTTGTTGATTTGGTAGACATTTTGAGAACGACATACACCTGCACGATGACCCGGTTTATTGCACCGATAGCAGGAACCCTTTCGTATGCTACTCGCTACAGTGGCCATCTTGTTGTTATCGGTGTGGACAGCCTGAGCAATCCCAGGTAGAGATTCAGCAGTAGACGACACCATCGCTTGTTCTGTCGTATTCAGAGTGTTTCCCAATACAGAGTGGGAATACTTCTTCCTCTGAATATCCCAGTCGGTGAGAAGTTCAGCCAGCTCGTTGATATTGCTGATGTTTGGCCATACCGAACAAGCTTGTTCTCGGTAATGAGGTGACAGTCCTTTGATAAACAACTGTTTCTCCTGGTAAGGAGTGTGTTGAATACCGATGTCAAGTCCCTCGTCGAGGAGTGCACGGAGTCGGTCAACAAAGCTAGTGGGAGTTTCCAATTTCTCCATCTTCAAAGCATCGATACGGGCAACAAACTTGCCGTTGTTGTTGGTCATCTTGTATCGGGCTCGTAGGAAACGATCGGCTTCCTGGAGTTTCTGTAACGAGTCACCCGTCGAGAGTCCGATGCGGCGGATATGCTTGCCAAGCTGCTTGTAGACAGACGAGTCGAGACACTGAGTTAGGTACAGATAGGTGTCGGCAGCGTTGAGGTGGAAATCGGCAGCAGTTGAGGAGATATCCGAAAGTAGGCAAACTATGGGACGAGCATCTTGTTGACCACGATACTTTCCTCCATCGGGTAAGGGCACCTTCGATAGGGCGCTCAAACCTCGATACAAAGAACCGACGCCAGTGGCAGAAGGGGACGAAGATCCATTAAGATGATCACCGAGCGAAGAACGGTAGCCGTGGGGGACAACATCATCGGATGAGTGCGAACGGGGATCAGCCGCTACTGCTAGGTTGGGAGCGTTCGGCGGTCCATTTTCGTGGCCAGCAAAAGTGGGAGCCGGGGTACCGCTTGAGAAATGAGTTCCCAGCAGTGAGTGCTGCTGCATCACAGATGGCGGGGTATGCCATACCTTCTCTGGGGCATTGCCAGTGTCGTCGGGTTGACCGAACATCGCGATTGGCGGGGGTACCCTCGTCGTACGGTACCGACGTAGTTGAACTCTAAGTATGAGATCGGGAAGGTCGTTGTCTTCAAGAAACCACAGATCGGCCTCCTCCAACTCGTGGTCTTGGAGGAAAGCTTGAAGGGCTCCAAAACCAGCACCGAGGGGAGGTTCTTGGGGAACCTGCTCGCTAGGGGCGGCCGCGGAGGTGTTGGCGATACCGTCATCGTTGCCTTGCCCGGGTTCTCCACCAAAAGCTGAGCTGTTGGCGCTGTTAGAGCCCTGTGACCTAGAGTTCGAGTTAGAGGACTTCCCGGGAACACGACGCGCAGGAGGCATAGGGAAGTCGGGACGAAGAAGACGAAAGTTAATCGACTAATGAGCAATGAGCTTCAGCGCGCAGCACGCATGTGCATAGCGCTCCTGCGTGAAACTACGTCACGTCACGATGGAGCGTGTCTCACTACTATGGGAATAACATAGGGACAGACTAGAAAAAAATGAGAATACATCGCTCACATGCTCTCTGTTTGACTCGATTTGGTATCTGTGTCACCGATGATGTGTTTTGGCCAAAATCACACGGATGATCAGTCTCTGCATCATGGCTTCATAGAAATTAAGTACATTGTCGACTAGCAACTAACGAGTAACACATCATAGAGAGACCTATTCTTAACGCGCATCATTACATTTAGTAGAGGGATAAATGGCTGAGACGTCTCATTTGCTGCAAAGGCGAGCCTCTGCCATGCATAGTTTAGAACCAGACGAGCTACTGTTGCTCTGCACGCTCGCTGGCCATTCGGATCAGTCTTCTCCACATCGAGCAAAGGATCTCCACCAGAGTATGCTGAAGGAAGTATAATTCGGTAAATACGTATAACTTATAAAGGTATATCAATCATGCTGTAGTACAAATCGAACGTCTCTCTATTCGATGTTTCCTGAAACAACGAAGGTAAGATGGCACGAGACGAGCGAAGAAGATTGTCTATGTAACAGGTCCACCCATATCACACGCAAATTATGAACCATCTTAATTGAACTACCAAAGTCTTATTCAGGGGACTGTGTAGTTCGCGAACTACTTAGGGGTCGTGCTCGATTCTACCACCTAAGACAACGTCACATGGGTGCTCTGACTTTGGTCGATGTCACACATGTGAAGCTTGATAAGAACACATTGAGCTGTCAAGGATACATCAGAGATTCTCGGATATCTAACCTCTGCATTTGAGCTCGCTATCAACAGAGTTTTCAGCATGTCAGCAATCGGAATTCAGACACTGGAGAACCAACATGAGCTCATGCTAGTTGGTAAGAGGATCATGGTGGTGCGGCTTGCCCGCCCTCGCTCATCAATCTCGGAACCACTCAGATATCTCTGATGCACTGTCAATAGGTTTCGTATTGGGGTATAGCGTCGATGTTTTTTGTGATGTTACGACGCAACGTTTCCAACACAACTTGGACAGATGAACACTTATACACTCATTATCAAGACATCATGCAGTGGCCCGGATTGTATTAAATGCGCTCACCAAAGCATTACAAGGCTTCATTAACCTAAATCGGCTACACAATCGGACTGAGGGTAGTCTCGAAATCGGTCGTCTCCACAGTAGTAGCAACGACCTCATCGGTCACAGCAGCTGTGCTGACCGGGAAAGGGGACGTTATAGTAGTAGTAGTAGTAGTAGTAGTAGTAGTAGGCTCAACAGTAGCACCGATCGTAGTCGCGACAGTCGCAGCCTCCGTAGCGACCTGGGTGGTAGCATCCGAGTCATCCTTGTCTCTACCGGGAGCCTCCCCAGCTGCCGTGCTGATGGTCACTTCGCCAGTCACAGGAGCTGCAGTAGTGACAGCCACCTCATCGGTCACAGCGGGCGTACTGACCGGTTGACGGGACGTCATGATAGTCGTAGGGTCAACAGGATCGTCAAAGGAGGGTCAATAGGAGTAGGGCGTCAAATATAAGTACAGGTCGTCTACAACAGGCTCTTGAGGTCCGAGATGATAGTAATATCCGCTAACAACTCCCTTCGTGCCCATTGGATGACGCTTACTTTCTCCATTGATATTAACACGATAGCGTTGAGTCGATAGCTAATAGTAGATGAGGACGCCGTCTCATCCATCAATAGTCTGATACCTTGCGTCTCTTCCTCATTACAACTGTCCAACACAACGAAGATAAACATCAGTGAACTCGTGTCACAATCATAACAGTACTTGTAGTGCTGCTCAACAAGGCTTCATTCATTATTGGTGCTATGCCATCCCCAAGGGATGTCTGCGTACCATTAATGTGTCTACACTATTTTAAAATATTATTTTGCCTTTAGTATGACAAATTCCATCGGGCGGACCATCCCAAGACATACCCTATGGTCAGTTCCGCAGGAGCACGTGATAGGAAGATCAACTTCGTCTGTACGACCAAGTAACCTCAGATTCGACGAATTGTGGGGATCATTAGCTTGGGGCAGGTATGCCACTCGAGTACTGGTGTCCAATACAAGCCAGAGTTTTGGGCAGTAGTATAATACACCTCGTTAAATTACCGGAGCTACTTCGGTCAATACATTGGTCTCGAACTCATGCTTCTTGAGTTCGAGATCAATCAGATGTGCTGTGATGAATGAGTTATGAGGCACGCTTCACCGCATCGCATTAGTTATTTGGGAGTGTTGGGTGAGACTGAGTGTTAGCAAATTAGGCAGCAGAAGGCGGTGGTAACACCGAACATCACAACACGCCGTGCATTGATTCAAGACAAAACTGTCACATTGCCTAACACGCAGGCACATAGGCAATGTCAACCATTACTCACCCAACAATCCCAGAGAAACCGTGTGTCCGATGCTCACATTACTTCGCTGATCACGAGTCATGATTTAGGACGCAGTTAGGACATCATTCTCACCTAGGATCCCTAAGTCAGGCGGGGAGGGAAACACCATTCAAGTAAGCGGAGGTCTCTGGGGACAACATCCCAGATTCGGTTTCTGGTGATCGTTGTGGTGTGCTGGTCGTCACCACTAGTCGTGATGGCTCGACAGCGATGCTGCTAGTAGCAGCCAGCTTATCAGGAATCACGCAATTTAATGTTGTAGTTGGTGATGTAGGAATTTTCTACATCATCAACTCGCAACATCTGGAAGACTGAGAATCTCCGTTGTATGAGTCTTGCACTAACGCTTGATTTAGGGTAACCCGTAGTGTTCCCATGCGCTTGAGATCCGAGTCCATCAACCGGGGGTATGCATTCGTCTACAGTCATAGCGAAGATCTCATTCGCATTTGTGACCCAGGGATGAGTCTCAGAAGTCGCTTCGCCTGTAACTAAAGGTTCAGCTGGGGGATCCGACGACTCTACTTGGACTATCCTCGATCGACTTAGCCGGTATCGGTCACGGCCTCTGCGCCGAAGGTTGGCGCCGCCGACCTCCGGCTGGATGTATTCGAGAAGGCATGAACTGACTGATCTGCCAAGAAGCTCTGGCGTGAATCAAACTCAACGCAGCAGTTTAAATACTCGGGAGTAGATGAAGAAATGAGATAAAAAATGGCCGAATTGGTTATTTCCTCTTGATCCACTCTAGATTATAGACAGGGCTCGAGAATCACGACCTTTGCTTCTTAGTCGGAGGCAACCCTTTCCCGACCACCGTATCCTTTTTATGGCTATTGGGCGGCTAACGACACTTGCGAAGATGCTTCAGCGAAACGGCACCGATTGCGAGTATGCGGGCATTCACCAGGTGGCGGAGCTCTCGCCAATCTCTCTTTGTTGGGGGGTTGCCGTGTTGCTAACACCCAGCGGCCTCCATTCACGTTGCAGCTAGTATCGATACATAATACGATAGGAAGAAGGACGTACAACGGTTAACTGAGATTGCGAGGTTTGCGGCCACCAATGGCCGTCGGCCATCGGCCGGGTCGCGGGTCCATTGGATGTTGCCGCTGACATCCACTACCGGCTTCTTGTCTCCTGTGGAACGATCGGAGCCTAGTTTTACCTCTCGGTAGGTAGCAAAAAACTCACTCAGCAGTTTCACTTAGCCTGGTCGACTACCAAACCTGGGGAACACCGTGACGTCTCGAGATCCGCTCCATGTACTCTACTTGACCTTGTGCGGCAACATCGTGCTTGTTGAAGAAGGCCTCAACAGCATTTTGTGAAGCGGATTCAATCCTCAGTCCACGAACCAAGCAGAGTTGCGTCTCGTCTGCGTTTTCGCTTTACCAATGGGGCAGAGGACATCAACAACCGTGTTCTTCAGCATGTCCGGCTTCGAGACCAAGGTCGGAAGGTCAGCGACAGTTACACCAAGTTGAAGTAGCCTGTCGACGATGGCGTCGCATAGTACCGTTGGGCAGTTGGCCGGGGAGATCGCACGAAAGGCCTCCGTTTCTCTGGCAAAAGTGTCCGTCATAGAGACAGGAGGCAAGGAAAAACTAAGTAGAGAGGCGGGAGACGTACGGTTATTACGAAATTCATCGAAGAAGCTATACATGTGAGGTGCATAAGCAACACTATTAAGATCACGTAAAGAAAAGCATAATGTAACAGATTGCGGACCATATTAAGCATGCGAGATAGAATATGAGTCGCCCAGTTAGGGCTTTGCCCCTCGTGGTCGAGGTGGTCAAAACGAGACAACAACAACAACAACAACAACAACAACAACATCATCATCATCATCATCATCATCATCATCATCATCATCATCATCATCATCATCACCATCATCATCATCATCATCATCAACAGCCGTTTCATCCTCTCTGAAATCAAACTTTGATCACATACGATCCTCCTGCATCTAACTCAGTTGTACCTAACGCCACCTACTATGAAAGGTGATGTGGGCAGGTTTATAGTGGCCTAAGCATGATGACTTGGCTGATCTGGAATAAATAACTCATGCTCGGCTTCATCTCACGCCCAGATTACCATCACATGCTATTGCATCTGCCATTATGGAAGTCTCGACATACGAGGTAAAGGAGGAATAAACGATATGTGATGTACTACTAAGAAATATTTATCAGGACGAAGTGGCTAATACTGGAAGCTCGAGGTTGGTAGCATCGAAGTTCTCAACGGCAAAAAATGATTGTCCTAGTTCTGCGAATCTAACAGTGTTATATTCCCTTGTCTACGTTGAAAATTGCATGACGAAACCGGCAATTCTAAGGGCGCTAGAATGGATTCACTCTTCGTAACAGATTTATCATACGCCGAAATCTCTCCCAAACCATCATCAGTCGGAAAGAGCCTCTGGCCGGGAAGGTCATCTGATCTTTTCGTAGGTACGCGGATAACCTTGTCGTTAATCCGTTAATCTATGGCATACCTAATGCTGCATTGTCTTACGTGTTTACGTCCTTGTAGGCGATAATGTGTAGTTGTCCCGTTATGCTGTCTCTCTGTACACAATTCACGTTCAGGCGTCTTCATTTAGGTAAGTCCCTAGCTGACGTAGTCATAAGCTTTATACTTCAAGTATCTATCTATTGAGTCGTCACCACTACAAGTGGTAGCAGCTCCTTGTTTCCATCGTGGTATAATAAGATTACCTGGTTGTGGTTGGTGGCGTTATCTTTGGACGTAAAGTATCGTGGACTGAATCATGGCACCTACGTTGAAGGTAACTCCGAGCCCATTGTGACGATTGCGAAGGTAGAAGCATTGTTCGAGAAGTATCATACTATTGCGGCGTTCTATGGGTGGTCCAGTGATGAGATCTATAAGTATGTCCCGTTGTTTCTAGAAGATTCGGTCTTGGGGGCATATGATAGTA